ATTAAAAAGGAGTTCAAATTTGAACGCGTGTTTAGTTTCAATGGAGACTTATCTAATTGTAGATCTACAGAGGTTAATGGATTTCATATCTGAGTGCCTAAATCTATTTTCGCCAGAAAATTAAAAGATAACTCGAAATATCAGATTTATTCATACTGTCGTCTCTCTATAGATTTTCGCTAAAGAAAGATGATATAATCACTATGATATAATTGACAACATATATATTAGAATATGTCATTTATTAATGATAACCATGCAAGACTTTAGACTAATGTTTCATTTCATTGTCTTAATGTTTTATTCTTGTAGATAATGGATTAAGCATATTTAATTACTAACATACAGCTGGCCCAGCATGGCCAGGTGGTTAGGGCGCTTAACTCGTAATCTGAGGGTCGCGGGTTCGAATCCCTGTCACACTAAACATGCTCGCCCTTACAGCTGGTCAATCCCACTATTCGTTGGTAAAAGAGTAGTTGGCGGTGGGTGGTGATGACTAGCTGCCTTCCCTCTAGTCTTACACTGCTAAATTAGGGACGGCTAGCGCAGATAGCCCTCGTGTAGCTTTGCGCGAAATTCAAAAACAAACAAACAAACATACAGCTTTAACGAATAATACCACCAAACAGTACAATTCATGACTATAAAGAGGTTTAGATTTCATATATATATTAACACTACGGAATTGGATAAAGTTTCTATTTGCTCTCATGTGCTATAAAGAGTAAATTTGATACAGATGCATATGATTTTAACATATTTTAACAAAAATGTAACCTGAATCCTTTTATAATGGAAATATGTTCTCACATGGAAATGTTTGTATATTTATTTCTATCCCTCATATGTGACTTTCATCTGCATAACATCTGTAAGATTTATTGATAGGTAAAGAAAGCCAAGTGTACATTTGTTAACTTTTTTTTATCCCGACGACTACCTCTACGTTAGTATCCGAAATATAATAACAAAAGTTCTTAATAACAGATTAAATCCTTTATTGCCGTTGACATCATTATATTCTACGTATAACTGAGGAATCAATTTGAATAATTTCGCGCAAAGCTACTCGAAGACTATTCTGTGCTAGCCATTCCTAGCGATAGACTAGAGAGAAGTCAGATACTCAGCATCATCCACTGACAACTTTCTAAGACTACTCTTTTACCAACGAAAAGTGGAATTGATCGTCACTTTATAACGGCCAAAAGGGTTAACATGTTCGGATTTGCCAGTCGATCGCTTCAACCAACCTTACCAGGCCCCAGAGGAATGAAGAACGATAGAAAGTCTGGGTGGAATTCTGGTCTTACGGATGGCCATTTTTTTCAAATTGTTCCATCTCTACTGAAGTCTTTGGTTGCACTTACGCATAACAACAGGGCCAGATTCAAACCAGATACCCTGCCTACTATCGTGTTTGTGTTCTTCTACTCTGCTATTAATAAAATCATGAAAGCAAAATTCTTGATAACTACCCTGTTATTGGCGAAACTGTTTGTTTTCACATTTATTTCTAGTGCAGTTATTATATACTTTTATTTGCGAGTTAAAAATGCCGATCTCCTGCAACGGTAATAAACAAATTATTCTTATATACCGGAAATCATTCTGGTTGTAGATATTATACATTTATTGTATTAATTTTATATCTTGTCAGTAAACAGTAAACTGGTTGTTTTACTTGTTAACATTTTAAACCGTGTATTATGTCTTAGAATATGTCCACTCATTGTTCCGGAAAGGAAAAGTCTTAGTGCTTCAGAAATTAAATGTTATCGTTAGCTTTTCAAAACTAGTGGTACGGAAATATATACTGCTTATTAACTGCCAGTAGTCTTGTAGCAGAAGGGACTGACATTGCGGAATTAGTTTTCAGAAGCTCCGGCACTGAAGAAATATGAGTTTTTTTTATATTTTTAGAAGTCCTGATTGAATAACAATTGATAAGTGACATTTTAAAGAGCCTATGGTACTGAGAAAATAAAAAAATCCAGCATAGATATTCAGAGGTCATTGTACTGAAAGGGTTATAAATTAATCTTTGTTTTCCAAAGATTCAATCTATAGTGAGTAGTTTAGAAATTTAACTTCTCTGAAAAGCTCCTGGTAATGAGTGAGTTCAATTTTTAATTGTCTTTCGTCAGATATTTCTAGAGTTATTTAAGGGGGGAAGAGGTAATAAGGAAAGGAAACTATTTAATATCTTCTATACAAGCACCCGCAGTGAGGGTTTGTTTGTTTGTGATTAAACAAAAAGCTACACAATGGGCTATCTGTGTTCTGCCCACCACGGGTATCGAAATCCGGATTCTAGCGTTGTAAGTCCGCAGACATACCGCTGTGCCACTGGGAGGCCGCAGTGAGGAAGTTGGGTCCTTTCCTTTGATTCTCGGAGATTTTGGTGTTCCAGAATTAGATTCATTGCTAAGAAGATTTTTGGAAGTATTCCTAATATTAGAGTTTTAAGAAAAAATATCTTAAGATTGTGAAAGGCGATTTATTTTTGGTGATTGTAGAAATTCAGAATAATAAAGCTTAGTTGATTATGATTTTGTTCGCGGGTTAATAATAGTTAGACTAACCAATTAAGGCTATGTACATGTAGGTTAAACTCAAAACTAAAGAATATGTACAAAGGCAGTGATAACAATTAATATTGATATAGTAAGTTCTATGTCAATAGATTGTTATAAAAACAAAAACTATGAAACATATATGTCAAATATGATAGGAAAAGGTAGATATAAGCTTACGTTGCAACCTAAATAATTTATAATGTATTAGCATATTATTAATTTACCTACCAAAAACACGTTGTTTAAGCCCAACTATTACTTGAATTAAGCCTAACTGAGTAAGCAGTTTTTGTTATCGTTAGCCATAACATTTAATAATGCAGCATGTTAGCTTTCTTTGTATTTTTATTAATATTTCCATTTTCTTTTGACCTACGGTTAACCTAAGTGTAATAACCCACTGCAATAAATAATATTTTCTTATTAACAATGCCATCAGAAGAAATGGAATTGAGTGGAAATGATAGGTAGGAAACTACAAACTACATTAATTTCAGAGTGTATTTTTGTGTGAATTCTCATCGTTTTAAGTACGGTTTATTAGATTATTACGAAAAATGGCAAGCTACAGCTGTGATACAGAAAAATGTAGTCAATAGGTTACGATATTTTTTCTTTTGTCGGGTACTTCTCAATGTTTTGATCCTGTTATCGATCTCTGTAACCACAAATATGTGTTATTTGTGGTATTAAATACAAGGTTGTATGTCCTACTTACTAATAAGTGCATGAAACTATTTATTAACGTCAGGTTGGGGTTTTCCTCTTGTTTGTTGAAACTGATTCGTTTTGAGATCAATAGCATCTACCCCTATTTGTGTTCGTAATATCAGAAGTTGTGTGGACGTGAAGATCAGTGTTAGCGATTATAACTACAGTACCTGTACTTAATGTAGGTAAAGTCTATATAAAAGTTATATGACATCAAGCTAGAAGAAAAGAATGAAACAATATTAGTGAACTAGTATTAAAGCCAGTCTGAGATGACGGGAAACCAGAACCTACCAAATTTGAATCCTACAGTACAACAGTGTTACCACCTTCCTCCTAACAATGTTTATTAACTACTAGTATAACAGTGTTATCACCTTTTTCCTAACAATGTTTATTAACAACTAGTACAACGGTGTTATCACCTTCCTCCTAACAATGTTTATTAACTTCTAGTACAACAGTGTTATCACATTTCTCCTAACAATGTTTATTAACTACTAGTACAACGGTGTTATCACCTTCCTCCTAACAATGTTTATTAACTTCTAGTACAACAGTGTTACCCCCTTCCTCCTAACAATGTTTATTAACTACTAGTATAACAGTGTTATCACCTTTTTCCTAACAATGTTTATTAACAACTAGTATAAAAGACCGTCTAAAATGATGGGAAACCAAAGCCTACCAAATTTGAATCCTCCAGTATGTCTTTACAGCTTTGCCGCCCGTAAACAGATATAAGAAAAATAAAGGACCTTTTAGCATCGGGAAACCAAAGCCTATCATGAGCATTATCTCATTTACCGTAAGAGTGTCTCTTCCCAGCATCGATCCTTGTCCTAGCGTTCATTAATCACAGTTATTTTGTTATCACATCAATTGTATTATTGCAATAGTTCTCTTAAAACCACATTTCTTGTAAATATTCGATCATCCTTCAAAACCTTCTGTTCATAACAAATGGCAAATTAATTTCACCGGGTGATAAATAAATCCTTGGTATAAAAACAACCTCCTTGACAGGCTTTTATATAGCAGAAAAAGTGCTGAAATTTAGGAGATAATTACGCCTATGTTAGCGATTGAATTCAACTGAAATGGTTTGTTTGTTTGGAATTAAGCACAAAGCTACACAATGGGCTATCTGTGTTCTGCCCACCACGGGTATCGAAACCCGGATTCTAGCGTTGTAAGTCCACAGACATACCGCTGTGCTACTGGGGGGCAACTAAAATGGGAACGGGCAATGCAAAGAGTAAGTATTATATGAGAAAAAAAATGGAATTGGACTTGTGTAACTCACGAAATTCAGAGAAATCGAGCGTGACCGACTGACTGACCGACAGACATGTAGCATATCCGAATCAGTAGCTTCGAAACATAGGAGTGGCCCCGCATAGTGCTTCACATTTTAATTGCATGTTCTGCTGAGATGGTTTTGTAAACTGCAATACTATTTTTTTTTCTATTTAACCACACCGGTGAGGGTTTAAATTGATGAGAGTTTTGAAATAGCTTAAATGACGATTTCATCTATAGTCGATGAACGAAATACTTAAAAAAGTATTAAACACACAAGTTAAAAGAAAACAAGATATCTAACAGTAATAGCTATTACTAGTCACGATAAGTATTTGAATTTTTCAAATGAGAAATAGGAAGCGATAGATTTATACGTTATTTAAATATGTCTTACATCCTCAGATGACACCATAAAATCACAGAGGCAACCATCTTCTCATCTTCGCCCAGCTCCCAGCAGGACTACGTTTCTTCAAGATAGTGATGAAGACTGTAAGTAAATAATAACCTCTAGAACATTCTATTTTCTCTGAAAAAAATAAAAAACTCGGACGCCATTGTTCCTATCACTATATCATCTTGTTGTTGTTGTTAACCAATTATTTAGAATATTTAAAGACACGAATAAAGTACCTGTAAAGCAAAAATAAAGGTGAGCCTAGAGATTATAATTTTAGATAAGTTTAAGTCTAATGTTAATAAAAAGTACAAAATTAATATATTTACCTTTAGCTGACAAGTATCTTAGTGCTAGTCCCGTGTGTCAAAATGACTTTTATGGTTCCGATGAAAAATATTGTTTAAATTGAACACATTTCGATACTAAAGTATATAGCTAATGTAACCCTGTGGGCACAAACTGACCTCTTGTAACACGATTTTGATAGCAACAGTAAAAGAGAACTCGGATACAACCACTTATCCGTAGCCGTGACCTTCAAAAATACTCTTCCAAACAATTTCCACTAGAACGACATTGAAAACAAAAACTAAACATCCAAAGTTACAGTTGAAACTCTTAACAGTTGACCGTTCTCAATGAAGCTCTAAATGAAATTATTTCTACAATATTTATTTAAAATTTAAAGTTTTCGAATGCTTAAATTTCTTTAACAGCAACCGTATAATTGCATGTAAGTAATTATCTACCTTGGATTAGTGTAGTGTATATTTCATTATCAAACACTTTTCACTCAATTAGGAATTGGGCGAACATAAATGAAAACTTTAGAGCAAAATGTTTCATATTATAGCTGTCAGAATTCCGTAAGAAACCAACGTCCTGAGATATTTAACAATAGCATTAATATTAATAACGTTAGTAACTTTATTAACAGCTTCAGTAATTTCTCTGCAAGTCTTCCTTAGGTGGTTTACGTATTTAATACACTTCATATGCAAAGAATGATGAGGTTATTATTTCTTAAGCCTAGTTTTTCGACGGTTATCAAGCAAATTCTACCAAGTTTCGCACGAGCATTTTCTGTTTTGTTGACCCAGTATTGATATCGAAAATCGATTTTACCATGAATATTAGAAAATGAATATATCCTTTGAATTGTAAGTTTTGCTTTAGAACAACATACAAAGAAACTATTTAGTAAATTATTTATCAGTCGTTTGTCTGGGATATGTTTATCCTTTTAAGATGGTATGAATAAAGGCAAAGAATCGTTTACAATGAGTAGAAGTTACCATTGGTTGTTTGTGATATTAAGATTTTCCTGTAACTGTTTTAATTTTGTTGGTGTAATAATAAAAGAATAATGAATATAATTTATCAGTCGTTTTCTTGGGAATTTAGATTACGGTGTAGGACAATCTGTAATGAGTAAATTTATCAATTGATGATTGTAGTGAGAATATTCCTTTAAATATCATTTGGGTTTTAGTCTTGGATAAATGTAAGGAGGCGAGAGAGAAAGCGCTTGAGACCCAGAAAACGTCCCCTCAGAGCGGAGTTTATGTCCCAGAGTGTAAGCAAAACGGGCATTACAAGGATACCCAGTGCTTCAAGAATAGGAACAAAGCAGTGTGCTGGTGCGTAAGAACCACAGATGGGAAACCAATCTTAGGAACTACTTCTCACAGCGGACGACCACGGTGTAGAAAACTCCGAAAAACCGCCAAAATGTTCAAAGGTTACGAAACTTTTTTTTTCTTATTTATCTTTGTTTTTAAAACTACTAAGGTAGAAATATCTCGTATTGTGTTTATTTCATATTATCTATGAAATCCATCTTAAACTGACAGGAAGATTGGCTACCTTTGTGCACGAAAAAGCTGAATACAGTAATATCTATGCACCATTAAAAAAGAGTATATGAACATTGTGGTATTGTTTTTAGTAATTTGAAATTAGTTAAAATAAATGTGTCGTAATTTCGAACGTGTTTTTGAGTAACTCTTTTTTTTTATAGTTGAGATAGTTTTGATTATCCCAAGTACAAGCGTAAGGGTATGGGATAAGGTATAGTCTAGAAGTCTGTTTGTTACTCTTAAACATAGCAAAATCATACAAGAATAACTGGTGACTGGTCGTAGAAATAAACATCCGGGTTGTTTAGTACAATCAACATGGTATGGTGTTAACACTAACAGAGTGACGGAGAACGCAGTTTGCCATTGCTCAGAAAAACAACAACAAAACTTTAATTAAAATAAAGTACAAGAACGACGTTTCGACCTTCTTAGGTCATCTTCAGGTTAACAAAGACAGTTTGAAACTAAATTAAGTTTAAAGAAATAATGTTTGTAAAAGTCATAAGATTAATACATACATATATATATATACTTGAATTTGTTTAATATAAATCAAAATGTTAGTAATTAGGTTCCATTGAAAGTTATCACAAAGTGTTTATACTTAGATTATGTTAAAACTTGTTAACTTTCATTAGAACTTCTAATGTGGTACCTGTTGTCAGCTTTTTCTTTAAATTATTATGCGTTAAGATACCGATAGTTAACTCGTGCTTCGTGTACGAAACTTTTTATTTTTTTTTTTTTTGGCTGTGGTATTTTGTATTTGAACGTACAAAATTTATAAAATGTAAAGCCAGTACTTTGTATTAAAAGTAGTTAAAACAGTTCAGTGACCTGCATAGACTACTCATGTACAAGGTTAGGTACGTGGAGTTATGAATGAATCTGAAGTCTGGGGGTGAGGAATCTCAATGACTGCGAGGTTAAACCTATTCCACAACTCGTGATATCCACCAAACATCTCTAGTACAAAAAAACATCTTGAGCCGAATTGTCTGATCAAAAATGACAAACCGATCATCATATCTAATAAGAGACGCTAGACTTAGCGACGTTTTCAAAACCTGGGTGTCAGGGGCAAGTATTAAATCTCAAGAGGGTGACGGTAATGATGTCTATAAACAAATGAAGAAATTCGCACAACTAAACCTTAACACCTAAACACTGCTGTCTGAGATGGGATTCGGAGGGGTGATGACAGATCAATTACCCAAATACCCTTCCCTTTATGCCCACTCCCCCCTTATGCATATGGTGACGTCGTCCATTACTTCCTCACTCCTAGTTTCAATGTCTCACAGTTTAAAGTAGTTTTAAACGATTCCCACGCACACACACGCATGCATGTTATTCTTATAAATATATATATTGAGGTTTCAGTAGGTAACTTCTGTTAAAACTCATAATAAAGTGCCAGTAGTTAGCTTCTGTTAAAAGCACAGAATAAAGCGCCAGTAGTTAGCTTCTGTTAAAAACACAGAATAAAGCGCCAGTAGTTAGCTTCTGTTGAAATTTAATATAAAGTGCCAGTATTTCGCTTTTGTTAAAAAGCAAAATAAAGTGCCAATTGGCAGCTTCCCTTAAGCATCTCGGTGCTCAGCAGTAAGTCTGAGGACTTATAACGATACAACTCGAGTTTCGATACACGATGGGAACAGAGCTCAGATAGTCTATTGTGTAACTTTGTTATTAACAGCAAAAAAACAAAAAATCAAAGACAAAGAAGCTTCCGTTAAAACTTACAATAAGATACCAGTAGTTATTAGCTTCTGCTGATATGGACTCGTGATTATCATTACAGTAATTTCAGTTATGTTTTTTTTTTATGATATTATTTCTAGAAGCCGTTTGAAGACTTCGAACATAGAGGGAAATGGCCTTGGCAATGTAAGAATATAAAGTAACATGTTTAAAAATCTTCATCCACTTTAGTGTTTATAGTTTGGTACCTTCTAAGCTTTAATTAAAGGTGTTTGTTAGTACATTGTTGTCATTGTACATTACAAAGACCACCTCTATTTGAGGCTTAGTAATATTTTGCCTTATTCACTTCCCCAGTTCATGTACCCAATGACCGCAGGAAATAAGTGTTTTACTTGGTTGCCAAGTGTGTCATTGGGTAAAGAGAGCTAAAGTTTTACACCCAAGTTTTAGCACTGGGCGTGTTTCAGTAAAATAGGGATATTTACATAAAATCCTTAAATAACAAAACAGGTACTCACCACGCAGGAGAAATAAAAATTACAACTATAGGGCACTCAGCAGAACGCATACCTCAGCCACGCAACGTTGATCAACGGACACGGACCATTTTTGACATGACAACGAGAAATAATATTCTACATATGTCAACCAAGCTGAATCAAAATCCAATCATTTTTGACCGAGTTATAGAGCAAAAATAGTGTAAAAACCGGTCCCCATGTTAACAGATAGGGATTTTTTTAAACTTTCGTGACCTTATAGAGACCTTGACACTCCAAAAACTAATCACTTCTAAGTTGGGTCATATTCCAAATGTATACCAACTTTCGTCTAAACCCATTCAGCCGTTTTCGAGAAATCTTACTGACAAACATACACATACAGGAGTGAAAACATAATCTCCGTCACCAAAGGTTGTTTTTTTCTGATATTCGCACAAGGCTACTCAAGGGATGCCAGCGCTAGCCGTCCCTAATTTTGAACTGATAGACTAGAGAGATTGTTTGTTTGTAGTTATGCACAAAGGTACACAATGGGCTATCTGTGCTCTGCCCACCACGGGTATCGAAACCCGGTTTCTAGCGTTGTAAGTCCGTAGACATACCGCTGTGCCACTGGGGGGCGACTAGAGAGAAGGCTTCTAGTCAACACCACCTACCGCCAACTCTTGAGCTAATCTAATCGAATACTTGGATTTTACCGTTACTCTTGTAACACACCCACAGCCCGAAAGTGTGAAACGCACTTATATTTTTATTTCTCGGTAACTGGACTTGACTCACAGTCCAACACGCTAACCACTAGTCCGCGCCCTGACTTTTATTTTTTCAGTCTTTAAATAATATCTCCCAGTTACGCTTTTTCAGCCTATAAGTAATTTAATTTTTATTACGTATTTGGCTTTCATCAGTACTTTTACAGCTGCAACCCATGATGTTGAGATGTTGATTTATTACTTTTAACTTTATTTTCCTCTTTTTTTTTTCTAGGTTGTAGAATTCATAATAAGCATATTTTCCTCAATGAATTCCTTGAGTATTTAGGCAATGAAATGATGATCTCGGCTCGAAATATGTCGTCTAGGTAAGTTTTAAATTAATAAAGATATCACATAGAAGCGATAAACTTTTCTCACTTTTTTATGTTAGCATTTTGGGCTAAAGCTCTCCATGAATCACAGCTCGTGTGATGGATTATTCATGACCTCATCAACATCGTTTAACAGAAGGATTAGTGACAACTGAGTTTTAAAATGTATAGGTGTTGGTAAAGGTGATTCCGTATATCCATATATATTTGTGTTTTTTGTAGGTATACGATAGTTAGTAAGAATGCTAAGCGATATACATTTCTGACAAATCAGTTTGTTTTTGTACATTTTTGACGATCCCCATTCACCTTATTTAAATTAACAATTTTTAATTTACTTGTTTATTAAGTTTTTATGCCCATTTATAGTGAATAAATTTTAAACTATAAACGTAAATGTGCATTCAAGAGTTTACTGCTGGATTGGCTTTTTTCCATCCAACCATTATTTACTGAGCTAGGTGGTTTTGTGCCTGAGGTTTCGTGTAAACGCACAGTTAACAATCGCCAAGTACAAAGAAAGCCGCTCACAACAGCATCGCATATGTTATGCATTTATAGCTACGTAAATCAACTTTCATTGAAAAATAATCAACTTTTTAAATATGTCATGGACATTCGCAGCGTTTTAGATAGAATATCTGTCTAGATTTTTGTGCAAAATACCCAGCCGATTTTGCTGTAGGCTTGTGAAACAAAAATATTAATAATAATATTAAAATAATACTCAAATACACACTTACAATTTCAGGGAAGTACGAAAATCAGTAGGATAAATCACCACTCAAAAGAGTAGAGAAATCTACTATGGTAATCGTCTATTGTTAGAAAACTCATTGAAATAGTCGCAGAAAACCACGTAGAAACAAATTAGAATAGCGAACTTCAGAAATGATGAATCCTCAAGGTGGCAGTTTCTAATTAATGCCTATAAATTTCACAAGTTATTTTCCAATTAATGCGCTTTAGAAAACACTGAATTTTTTCAATGGCGGAAAGTAAAGGACTTAGAGAAATCATGGCGAAAAAACGAAAAGCGCTTGATTTAATTCTAAAACTACCCTATGAAACACTCAATACTGCATTCATTACTATTGTCCAGGATTCAATAAAATATTTGTAGTCTTTTTTTCTGTAGCGGATTGTAAAACTATAATCAATCATAATAAGGCTGAAGACACAGTTATAAATATACAATTTTTTTTACTATAAGAAAACGAAATATGATGGTGTTTTTAATTAAATGGCTTCTAAATTTCTGCGTTCGAAGAGTTTATGTTGGTAGCGAAGTAGAACTTAGAAAATTTTAGAGGGTGGAAATATCGACATTCAAGAATCAACTTAAAAATAGCCCTACAACATTCGCGGGAGTTTGTTTAGTAGCTGGGCATAGGTTTTGGCGCAGTATACCTTATCGGTACTTGAATGGCTTCGAATAGAAACTTGGCCAATAACGATGAAAAAACTGATAAAATCTCTCCTTCTCTTCCAAGAATCAACATACAAATAATCCTATGACCTGCGCAGGAGTATTTTCTAATAGGTGTGCCCAGGTTTGAATAAAATATTCATAGCCGTTTTTTTTGTAGGCTTGCGATACAAGAATAGTATGAATGATAATAATAATATGAAGACGAAATGGGTGAACTTTTAATCTTGTCTTCTTCTTCTTCTGTAGCTTTTTCCATATCTATATGGGGTCGCTATTTTTGACAGCACGTTTCCACTCTCCTCGGTCTTCGTATTCGTCCCCAACAAGGCCTTTCTCTCTAATATCTCCATCCACGCAATCCTTCCATCTTCTCCTTGGTCTTCTTCTCTTCCTTCTCCCCTCCACCTCCATATCCAAAACCATCTTGCCTATATAATCATCTTCTCTCCTCATCACGTGCCCATACCACTGCAATCTTCTCTCATGAACTTTCTTCGATATTTCCACCACTTTAGTTGTTCCTCGAATCCTCTTGTTTCTAATCCTATCAAGCCTCGTCACTCCACACATACATCTCAACATTTTCATCTTGGCTACCTTTAATTTCTTCTCTTGACCCTTATTGATGGGCCAGGCTTCCGCTCAGTACATCATCGCAGGTCTCACAACGGTTTTATAGACCTTTCCTTTCACCCTTGCGCTGATCTAATTGTCGCATAGCACTCCCGACGCATTTTTCTAATTTCTCCATCCCGACTGGATTCTATGGCTTATTTTAGAGTCGAGTGTACCGTTTAGGACCGGCACCGAGTTGTGCTGGCTTGCACCCCCAGTGGCTGGGTTAACTTTGAATCTTGTCTAACAATCGGAAAATCAACTTTTCCGTTATTATCAATATTTTAGTAACCTTAGTCATTAAGATGGAAGGTCTTGAGTGTTTTTTCCATAATAAGTCTGTTTCTTAAGATGGTTTTTGTCCTTAACTTATATTAGAATGTTTGTGAATATCTTGGGCGAACCCTATTATGACCCACTATCGTTGTTCATGATAATGACATTTATACACACACACGGTGATATTACAATAGCCAACCAGAAGTCAAACTACTGTAAAAAAAAGGCTGTAGTGATTAAAAATAATGTAAATTAACAACAACAACAAAAAAAAAAAAGATTAATAACATCAAAACTTAAACGAAGAAATGAATCAGAATTCAGCTATAAGCTTGAAAATATAAAGGTATTTTGGTTATCTCTCATTTTCACAAACTGACAAAAAATATTATTTTTTCAAAATATGACAAGTATTTTAGCCACAATAAAATATAATTGCGCAACTTTTTTTTGACATTTTCTATTGTGTAATGAGTTTTTTGTTTTTGTTTTTATAAAATGCCAACAAGATATATTTCAATAGTATTAATACATTTAAATTTTTATTGAGCGTCACTTGAACACAGACCTTAACTAACGGATTTTACTGGATCTTCTTTTAGCACTGCAGAGAAACCAACCAATGAACAGGCCGCTAGATGGAAGTTTAAGGATCTCGATTTGAATAATAACGAGGTAGGTGCACTTTACCAGGGGTAGAGCGTCAGTTATCAAATAATCACAAGTTCGTCAACTTATCGAAAAAAGGTTTTTTTTGTAAGAGTAAGAACATTACTGAAGATTATAAGAAAATAAAATTTTAACCGTTTTGTTGGTCGAACATTCCAATATCTTAACAATGATATATAAGTTATGTCTCAAAAATAGGGGATGCAATAACTTAACAATAACGATATATGCATATATAAATGGCGCTTCAGAGAATATTGACCCGGCATAGCCAGATGGTTAGGGCGCTCGACGCGGGTTCGAATCCCAGTTCCACCAAACATGCTCGCACTTTCAGCCGTAGGGGTGTTATAATGTGACGGTCAATCCCATTATTCGTTGGTAAAAGAGAAGGCCAAGAGTTGGCGGTGGGTGGTGATGACTAGCTGCCTTCCCTCTACTCTTACTCTGCTAAATTAGGGACGGCTAGCGCAGATAGCCCTCCTGTAGCTTTGCGCGAAATTCAAAACCAAACAAACCAACATCAGAGAATATTTTGTTTCTTATCGTCCAGCCTAATTGACGAGTTCTGGTACTGTATGAAAAACCTCTTGGGCATTGACCTGTGTAAGACAAAAGATAGTTTTGAAATTTTATCTTCACACGCATCTGATCCTGAACCAGCAATGGAAGTTAAGAAAATGAACAGTTAGCGTGATTTTTATCATAACGTTTAGGCCAATTGAATTTGAAATCTTAAGTTACTCTGATGTCACACGGACTAATTCAAATAATGTTTAAAATTTATAATCTTATTTATGTATCCTATAATTAAGTAAGTTATCAATCTCTAGTACTTACATTCTGTGTGAATGATCTATCAATTCTACATAGATTATTATACTTCTAATATATTTTAGTATAATCTTCCGAGCCAACACTTTTTTTTGATATTGCGTAATGTGAAAGAGTCACAAAATGTTCTAAAAAATAACAGAAAATGTGTTATTACCTCACTAACCTGATGAAAAAAAGACATATCTTAGGACTGATTCAAACCACGTTCTATTGGATAAAAAAGAGAAACTTGTATTGTTTTCGGGATCTTTCATGAGTTTTTAAGACATCAAATTTTAGTATTGTATTTGAATGATTTCTACAAAAACAGGAACTGAGTGTGAATAATTTAATTAACCAACTTGTCTCTGTTATTATAAGAAACAATGCTTTCTAAAACATTTTTTATGTTGAGATTTCTGGCACAAGTTTTTTTCAATTGTAAGTTGATAGCTTAGTGGTTATCTTTCACTCAACTGGTGATAAAAGTTGAAGTCTTCTGATGTCTAGATTAGTTTTATTGAAATTAGCATCTCGTTTTTCAGCAAACGTGAAACCGAAATTGTAGGAATAAATACAAATGCACGTCACCACGTGGAGAAAGCAGACATAAGCTGACATTTTATTTCAAGTATTTCAAATGATTAGTATATCATGAAGCTTGTTTTGTCTCGTTTGACGAGCTATAACATAAGAAATCTGATTCATTTAATATTGTAATGCGAAATACGATGCTCGTCCCTAAATTACTTTAACTGTATAAAGCTCGAAAACGGGAGTCTCTAACTAAATTAATATTTGTGTTTTTGCTTCCTTCTACTATCTGTTTACTACTGAGAACTGACTTGTGTTTTACAATGACTACTACCCAGAGTCTTATCGCCTCATAAGCATTAATTCATTTTTTTTCATTAATTTGAGTAAAGATTAAATCATTTTTAGCAATGAAGAAAAACTTTATAAAAAGCTTTTAACATCTATATGGACGATTGGATTGACATTTCATTTGCAAACCAGAATATGTATG